CTCAGCAGAGCGCTGTGCACCGCCGTACATGTCCACCACTGTTTAAGCAATGCTGTTGCTTCCACTAGATATCAGCTGAATGTGGAATATCAAGGACAGAGAAAACCTTACAGTGTTACAGTCCCACCTTATTTCATTGAGAAATGAAACCCATTGTTTCACAAAGGCTTGTAAAGGCAGCTGCATGACTGGACTCTACACAATGAGACTGAAAACTACTAAATTCAAAGAGTAACAGGTGTGGCCGAGCACTTCTGCTCATATAGTGTAGCTGGAGTCCTTAGAGTGACTGGAGACTGAAAATGGGTTTTGCTGAGGACAAAGTTAAAGTGTCTCTAGAATTTGGGAAATTAGATGCATGGAACAGGAAGTGGATTTAGGTTAAAATAATACTTTGGGCACATTTTTCTTTAAATGATTTGAAATGTCAGGTTTTTACTGTTACAATGTTTCCAATGTTCTGTTTCATCACCAGACATCATCGACCCTGCTGTACTGAGACCAGGCCGTCTGGATAAAACCTTGTATGTGGGTCTGCCACCACCAGCAGACCGCCGCACCATCCTGCATACAATCACTAAAGTAGGAAATGGGTTTCTATTCAGATGAAATGAAAAAGTGTGCATCATATATTGTATACTATCAAAAACATTAAACGGTTATGTTGGTGCACTGATGACTGAAAATATCCAGCCACATACTGCTGATTAAGAAAAGCTGTTGCTCAACTTCACTGCTGCATGTTCAGGGGGGGACCAGACCTCAGCTGGAGCAGGACGTCAGCCTTGAAGAGATTGCACTAGATCAGCGCTGCGATGGCTTCAGGTAGGTTTGAGCTGAGGAGCAGCAGTGTGGCTGCAAAGCCTTCTGTGCTAGCTCGCAGTGTTCAAACTGCACTGACACATGAACAGCACTGAAAAGAGTGAAATCTGATCTGTGTGTGTGTGTGTGTGTGTGTGTGCGTGTGTGTAGTGGAGCTGACCTGACTGCATTGGTGAGGGAGGCGTCTCTCAATGCCCTGAGGACCTACCTGAAGTCCCAGCCTTCCTCGGCTGCATCTCCTGGTAACTGAACTCGTCCTCTGCGTGCCTGCACAGTGTTTAGCTGTAGTCCTCCTGTGGGTCTGCAGGTAGTCACCAAACACATTCCCATGGTTTCACTTTACTTGACCACGTTACGGTCTAGTCAGTGCATGGACTCAGTTTAATTCCGTTCAGTTTTGTTAATATTACACCAAATCACAGCAGCAGTCGCCTCAAAGCGCTTTAATATTGACCCTACAATAACACATACAGGAGAACACTGTATACAGTATATCAGACTTTCATATGGTCCATATTCCAACTCAAATAACAACAATGAGCTGGCCTACCAGGTGCAACCGAGACCTACGTGGGTTTCACTGAAGATTATTTTTAGTGATTATAAACTTAAAGCAGAAACAATCACAGCACCTGTGTTTCCTCTTTAGTACAGCTGACGATTGTTATGCTACCAAAAAGTAAAACACGATTCACAGTTGCAGTGAAACTAGCTAATTACACTCATGCATGTCCATTCTGTTCGCCTCTACGCTCCACACAGGCCGCACACATTCGTCTGGCTCTGCTGCTGACATCAGAGTGAGCAAGCACAACTTTGAGGATGCCTTCGGGAAGGTCCGACCGTCTGTGTCCACAAAGGTAATAAAGCACGGCTCACATTTTGGGAACGTATTTTCAATCAGGATCTAGATGGATCCAAATTCTCAGACGTGTCCTTCAAGTATAGTGGTGAAAGAAGGTTAACATACCATGATGTTTTTTTAAAGTCAATACATATCAACAACACCATGTGGCTATGGTTTTTATTTATATGAAATTTGCCTGTGTAAAAAAAGTAGGTCAGGGAGAGGCAGCTGCCAGTCTTATCACACCTCATAGTTGACTGCTATCGCTCATCTGTCTCCTCATAACTCATGTACTGGATTGGCTCATTACAAGTCCATTAGTCTGGCAGCATTCCACATGCTGCTGATAAGTGTTTGTCACAGCAGACTGAACTGGCCTCAGTCACAGTCCTGCAACCTACCTGAACCGGTCTGACTCGTCACACTGAACTCTGCATGACAAAAAACTGCAGTACTAACCTACAGACTGAGTGTCAGTGTGATCATTACTCAGGTAACT